CTTACGTTGCAATAAGCATTTTGAATTTGAATATTTTCGGAATTTTTTTTTTATTGAAAAGAATTCACGCACATATAAACAAATAAAGTTGACATATTAAGTCAAGAAAATAAAAAAAGTATGATGTCTAGCCCTACCTTGACTATATTGTACCATAGGTAGGTCCACGTTTTTATACCCTCCACCATACTATGGAGGGTATATTAACTTTGTCATTCCGTTTGTAACTCCTCGAAATACTCATATCAGACCCAACAAAGTATATATATTCTTGATCAGCGTAAAATTCTAAGTCGATTTAGCGATGTCCGTCTGTCTGTCTGTCTGTCTGTCCGTCTGTCTGTCTGTCTGTCTGTCTGTCCGTCTGTCTGTCTGTCTGTCTGTCTGTCCGTCTGTCTGTCTGTTGTAATCACGCTATCTTTCGAATGAATTGAGATAGGTGGCTAAAATTTTGCACACATGTTTATTTTTCCAGTAGGCAGGTTAAGTTCGTAAATGGGCCATGTAGGTCCACGTTTTCATATAGCCCCCATATAACGGTACCTCCCTATATTCGGTATTTTGATGATTTTAGCGACATTATTCACGGGAATTGTTTCAAATTTGGTATTTGAAGTTCAAAATGGATACTACACCCTAAGACGGAAAATTATCCGTGCAGGTCCACGTCTTCGTATAGCCCCCATATAACGGTACCTCCCGATATTCGGTATTTTGATGATTTTAGCGACATTATTCACGGGAATTGTTTCAAATTTGGTATTTGAAGTTCAAAATGGATACTACACCCTAAGACAGAAAATTGTCTGTGCAGGTCCACGTCTTCATATAGCCCCCATATAACGGTACCTCCCTATATTCGGTATTTTGATGATTTTAGCGACATTATTCACCCGAATTGTTTTAAAATTGGTATTTGAAGTTCGTTATGGGAACTACAGTCTGTGACAGAAAATTGTGTGTGCGGGTCCAGGTCTTCGGATAGCCCCCATATAACGGTACCTCCCTATATTCGGTATTTTGATGATTTTAGCTACATTATTCACCGTTTATTTCAAGTTTCGAATTTGAATATGGTAATGGCTTATGACAAACAATGCCTATGTACGTCCACGTCGTATAGACCCCAAAATAACGGCTATATTCGGTATTTTTAAAATTTTAACAGAATTTTTTAAGGATTTTATTTTTTGAAAATTTCCAAATTCGTTGCAATGGTGGAGGGTATTAAAAGTTCGGCCCGGCCGAACTTACTGCTTTTTAACTTGTTCTATATCGTCCATATTCTTCTACCGATATTCGGCATTTTAAATTTGGTATTTGTAGTTCATAATGTGATGGGATAAATGGATAACCGCTGTCAGAACAATGCCCATATTGGTGTAGGGTTTCAATATAAAAGTTCGCACCTATATTTGGTACTCGCAAGCGATAACAATCTTTGTAGTTTCCACAGGTTCCCGTTTTATCAAAGAAGTCCTAAAGGTTCATATTCTGATCCTAAATCTGAGTCAACCTAAAATTTCGTGAGGATCGGATCATTATTGTGACCTGTAGCGTGATTTCAAATAAATCCGGACAGACGGACACACATAGCTAAATCGACTCAGCTCGGGGAGATTGGTAGATCCATATGTAAAATGGACAGAAATAAAACATCGATCGTCTGGGTAGAAATTGTTCCTCTGCTTTACAACGTTAACTAAAATTCGACGTACTCAGTCGAGGTTTTTCCCCACACAATTTAGACACATGTATTTATAGGAGAGTTAACCAAATACGTCGGGCGTACGAAATTTCAAACTTGAAGATTCTCAACATTGACAATTGAAATGTAACGATTTGGTGAATTTAAAAATGTATCAATTTTACAACGTTTTTATTTGGCAGTTGCAAATATATGGACCAGACCAAGGCCCATTTATTAGGTCTAAGTCTACCTATATTCTTCTACCATGGTTTACGACGAGAGCATGGTAGAAAAATACAGGTAGATGCATCAGCGCTTGGGAACATTGATATGTCAATTTTTTTTAAATATTTCTTCAAAAATAAGTATATTTGTATATGTTTATCTACACGACGCCAATCGGAGGTTGTTATAATATGCATTTTTTAACAATATTTACAAATTTGAGTAATTTTTCATTCAACAATTTCGATTCCAGAATTGGTTTGACAGTTCATTGTCCCAGCAGCTGTGTCGAAGCGTCTACCTATATTCTTCTACCATGGACGAGAGGCACCCAAAATAAAATGTAAACAAACTCCTCGTTTCTGATTGTTTGAAACAAATTTGCCGCAACCTTTAAATGTCATGGCGAATCTATGTTTTTCGCCTTAGATGCCAATTTTGACATTTGAAGGTACTACAAAAGTTGCTTTATTGTAGCAATTCGCCGATGCAGTTACCTGTTAGATCTACCTTGGGACTACCTATTTAATAGGCCTTGGACCAGCCCGTATTTGGGTAATGCGGACGTACAAAACATTTTAACATAGTGATGAAGTTGAATATTTGTGTAGCTACGTCGAATTTTAGGTAACGCTCATGGTAGAAGAATATAGGTAGACGCGTCGACACAGCTGCTGCGACAATGAACTGTCAAACCAATTTTGGAATTGAAAATGTTAAATGAAAAATTATTTAAATTTGCAAAAAAAATTTGAAAAAACGCGAATTATAATAACCTCCTTTTGTCTTAGAATAAGAAAACATATAAAAATCTACTTACATATATTTAAAAAAAAAACATTTCAATTGTTTGACATATCAATGCTCCCAAGCGTTGATGCATCTACCTGTATTCTTCTGCCATGGTAACGCTGTTAAAAAAGTTATGTGAACAGGCTACTAATGTTTTTGTACTTTTTTCTGTTGTGCAAACATTTTCTTTAAGTACAATGAGAATCATGGTAGAATCATTTCAAATAAGTATTACCATCTCTCATGGCAGAAGAATACAGGTAGATGCATCAAAGCGTGGGAGCATTGATATGTCAAAAAAATTGAAATGTTTTTTAAAATATAAGTAGATTTTTATATGTTTTCTTATTCTAAGTTAGAAGGAGGCTATTATAATTCGCGTTTTTCAAAAATTTTTGCAAATTAAAATAATTTTTCATTCAACATTTTCAATTCCAAAATTGGTTTGACAGTTCATTGTCCCAGCAGCTGTGTCGACGCGACTACCTATATTCTTCTATCATGCCATCTCTACATTTTCTGTAACTAAGCTTGCATGGTAGAAGAATATAGGTAGACGCGTCGACACAGCTGCTGAGACAATGAACTGTCAAACCAATTTTGGAATTGAAAATGTTGAATGAACAATTATTTAAATTTGTAAAATTTTTTGAAAAAACGCGAATTATAATAGCCTCCGATCGACGTAGTACAGGAAAACATATAAAAATCTACTTATATTTGAAAAAACATATAAATATTTTTGACATATCAATGCTCCCAAGCGTTGATGCATCTACCTGTATTCTTCTGCCATGTAAGCTTGTCAAATACAATCGTTCATATGAACTGTCGCAACAAAAACAAAACTTGTTTATTTACATTTTTAAATCAATCAGTTGTATAAAAAATAGTTTTACATACAATGTGCCTGAGTTATATGCAAAAATCTGTATATCTGGAAATAAAATTATGCCGATGAGTCAATTTAATGTTACGAGGAAAATATTCATAGTCGGCTTCACAGGATTTTTTCTTATTGTTTATATTCATAGTCCTACGACTAATATTCCCAATAACTCTTTTTTCTTTTATTTTAAAAGTTCGCGTAGCCTGTGTTGGACATACCAAAGCGGATAAAATATTTCAAGGACCGAAGAGCGACAGCCTAAAAAATTATCACGCGTTCGCGTAGGTGTCGTTGGACACACTCCAGAGGAGAAGATTTCCAGCTTCGGCCGAAGGCCTGCTATTTAAAAAAAGTTGAAATTTTAGAAAACAATAACACATATTATGTGCGAAGATTAAAATGTAAGGTTGCACTGCCTCAAAATAATTTCTAATATTTACAACAGTACTCGGTCAGGTTTTCTTCCAAAGGTTTAAAGGGGTTTGATAATCATATGTTTCATAAAGAGCGAAGTAGGAGCTCCATTGTCTTCTAATTTGCCGATCTAGATATTTCTATCAACACCAAATCTGGTAGGAAGAACGGACCACTCCTTCTGTTGCCTCCACCACAACGGATCAAAATTTTGAATACTTATAACCCTCACAAAATGAAAAATAATCATCATATTCTTATTTAACTTCTCACATCCCGCTACATCTGCATTCACAAAATCTGATGTGAAGATGGGATATGTGTTGTATCTCATCTTCACATGTTTTGGACTGAATAATAAACAATATCCGAAGGTGAAAAGCGGTCTTCACACAGAAATTTCCTCCTCCAAAATTGTAAGAGCCACATGCTTGGGATTTATGTTCTTCCTCAGATTAAAAATATTTATTGAAAGAAAATACCTTCTCATATTTTCAAATTAAAAGATAAATTTTTTGTTTTGAATTTATATTTATTTTTGAAACATAACTGACAACTTTTATGTGTATACAAAAACGTCAGTCAAAATCATTTTGTCAAATGAACAATTGCGAAAAAATTGGAAACATATGATTGCATGACTTTACCTTCGTAGTTCTACCATGAAACTTTGGAAACAAAATTTAAAACCTGCCGCTACAGCTTGGTTATAATAGGAGTTTATGTGCATCTGATATCCCATCGGCAATAACAAGGATTACAAATATGCAAAGAATAAAATGAAGGATTCATTCATTCAGTGATACCGCGATAACAAGGTGTTCCTGGAAATTCAAAAAATCAAATTTTTTGTCCAATGTTTATTTTGACAGTGCTGCAAATAACAATGAATTCGTTCTATGCAGCACAGTCAGCGAAAAAATGCAATGGAACTAACAAAAATAGATTGAGAAAGAGTTGTACCTAGTTCCGATAACGACCTTCGCGGAATGGTTACTTTGAACTAGTTCGTTCCGGAACGACATAACTCTAAATCGGTCAATGTTTTGGAAAGTATGTAGATATCTTCTGTGCGTGTACGTTCTTCGCATTTATGATATCAGAGTTCAGCTGTGCTCTCAAGTCATTGTAGATAGTAAATTCGAGAAGCGATAATGGCATTCGTGACCGGTTTCAGGCGGGCCATACAAAAGTTGACTTCATTGAGCGTTTATCAATTCTCACGTAGGACAACTAAGCGTCATGTAGCAGGGTTCATTTTAGGGACCGGCATTGCGACTTTTGGAACATTGACGGTGGCCCAAATGGAATCTAGCAGGCGCCGCAAACTAAACACTTCTGTTTATATGGCAGAGCCGATCACTGATGTGGACCAGTTGCTAACTTCGGAGGATGACATGAAAACTAAAATGGAGCTACTCATATTAAAGATTCAGGCAGATTTCTGCAGAGCTCTTGAAGCAGAAGAGTATGCGGGCCAGAAGTTCAAAGTAGATAGATGGTTACGCAATGAAGGGGGCGGGGGCATAACGTGCGTTTTACAAGATGGAGAAGTATTTGAAAAGGCCGGCGTAAACATTTCTGTTGTGAAGGGACATCTACCTCCGCAAGCTGTACAACAAATGCGCTCCCGCGGCAAGAAGTTAACAGAGGGCAGCAAGTTACCGTTCTTTGCTGCTGGTGTCAGCGCCGTTATTCACCCACGTAATCCCATGGTTCCCACAATACATTTTAATTATAGGTATTTCGAAGTTATTGACACTGATGGTTCTAAGCAATGGTGGTTTGGAGGAGGAACTGACCTCACTCCATATTATTTGGATGAAAAGGATGCTGTCTCCTTTCACAAAACATTGAAAGATGCTTGCGATGAAAGTGATTTAGAATACTATCCCAAATTTAAGAAATGGTGTGATGAATATTTTCGTATTACCCATCGCGGCGAATGTCGCGGCATAGGTGGCATTTTCTTTGATGATATTGACGCTCCCAACCAAGAAAAAGCTTTCAAATTCGTGTCAGATTGCGCACACGCAGTCATACCATCTTATTTGCCAATTGTCAGGCGACATAAAAATGATGCATATGGCGAAAGAGAACGACAATGGCAATTACTCCGTCGTGGACGTTATGTTGAATTCAATTTGATATACGATCGTGGTACCAAGTTTGGTCTTTATACACCAGGCGCCAGATACGAAAGTATATTGATGTCCCTGCCACTCACAGCCCGATGGGAATACATGCATTCACCTCCTCCAAATTCAAAGGAACAAAAACTTATAGATATTCTAAAAAATCCAAAGGATTGGCTTTAAATAAAAATAGTGTTTAGATAAAGTTTAAAACGATGGAGATATGAATGAGTTTAAGTAGAGGTGATAGAAAAAATTCCTATTTTTGTAATGTTTTTGTAAATAAATTGTTATTTCTATATATTTTAGTTTTATTTATATTTATAAGACAGACAACAAATTGGTTGTGTAAAAAAACTCCGGGATTAAGGAAGGTGTTCCGTAATATGTATTTTCATCGATCCGCGGCTATTACGAATAGACACGAATGCACCATCCTGAATATGTGACTCCCACGATAATATAGACACTGTGTTCTTTATGACATGGATGGATACCTAAACCTCCCCGGTAAATTGTTGAAACTTTTTCTTCAAATTAATGGTCCACTGGTGTTAGGGTTGCGATCTCCATAGTACTCCCAGCACACACTGAAGCCCCATAACTAACTACAGACCATGGTACGAAAATACACGTTGTCGCATCGAGACAGCATTCCTGGGCAATGAACTGTCAAACCGGTTTTGAATGAAAAATTATTCAAATTCGTCAAAATTGTTCAAAATGAATATATATATATATATATAACCTCTGTATATATATATATAAATATATATACAGTCTTCTACGATGCTACAGACCTACCCTACGATTGCACATTTAATCACTCGAAGGAAAACTGATTACAATTTTTTCAGAGTGTGCCCGAGCAGAAAAATAAAAGGAATAATTTTAAAAATCAATTATTAGAAGAAACGCACTTTGCGGCGGAGCTTTAACGATATTAAACAGTTTCGACATGGAATTGAAATATTAAACAGTTGTGATCATGGTAAAATTATGAAGGTAAAGTAATTTCTAATAAGCATACCCATCTCAGTATTTTCTGTGATTTACCTTGTCAAATTTCATTGCATAAAAATAAGGTTTCCATCTCTGATTTGTGTATTTACAATGGATTTATAAATATATAGCTTGACAACGGATGTTGTCACACGAATAATTTCGAAAAAATTGTAAACGTAAGTGTGTCTGGTTACTTTTCCTGCAGGAATCGTCCATCAATATCTTCCTGAGAGGAAAAGTAAACAGATGGTATTCCTGCAGAAGCTTGCAACTAATCAGCTGATTTGTCAAAACGAACCAATTTGTCCCCCATTAAAAGAAAGAAATATCACCAATTTTACAATAATAAATAAAAGGGGAATTAGCAAAAAAATAAGCAATAAAAGAGAGATAGGTTTGATGTGTTCCCTGGAATCCTTTAAACGTGTTGCAAATGGCGTTTGTATAAAAATGTTGGAAATAGTCTTTTATTTTCTTATAACATATTAATATTTGCTTTTTAACATTTTGTAAAGTTATTCTCCAAAGCAATTAGTCTTGCTAATATATAAATTAATCAAAATGAATGGATTAAACTTTATTCATAATTAATCAAAATGAATGGATTAAACTTTATTCATTGAGTATGAGTTAAAAACTGAACTTACAATAATGCTGTTATTTAAAACTAAGCCACCACATTATGCTGCGCCGCTGTCGCTCTGCCAACGTTGCCATTGCATTTCTTGCTGACACAGTGGCCCGTGTAGAATATTGGGCTATTAACCTGCAGTGGTGTGTTGAATAGGCGGCTCGTGTTACTTGTGGGAATACGGGAGCATGAAGGTTTCCCATGAATGGTTGTAAGTAGTTGGTTTGGGTGCAACCAAATGAATAAGGTGTTTAGAATAAGGTGTTTAATGCGCTGACTTAGCAGCTCGTGTGGGGTTTTTGGTTGCTTTAGTGCAGCCAAACTGTGGGAATACGGGAACACGAGGGTTCCTCATGATAACTCCTCCCCTTCTAAGTGGGGGCCGTCCTCGGTCCTCGTAATAGCGTTTTTGATTGCATCTTCAACTGACCTGGTTATGATGATCTTCTTTTTTGTGATGGTTCTTCGTCGTAATAGGTAACCTGCCAGTCCCACAATCGCAAAACCACCAATGGTTGATAAACCTGCGATTTGGCCCTGATCGACCACACGTTGTAAATGGCGGATGTGTTGGAGGTTCCGTTGGTTCATGTGGTGCAGATAGGGGGCACTTAGTATCTCAGTGTGTTGTGTCAGGTTGATCTCAGAAGCCCATGGAGTTTCAGGTTGCAGAGGAGTCGTCGAATTCTCGTTGTAATATACCGAATCGTTGATTTTTACATGATCTTTGAAAATGACCAGGTAAGTGCCATTAATTGTAACAGAAGCTTCATTACTTTCTTCTACTATTGCCAGTTGGTCATTTATGACTACCAATCCATCGCCTATTGGTGTAATCGGCGTGAGATTGTTGAATGTGGTGCTGCAGCTTGAGCGCATGATGTGGCTGATGACGGTGGTATCGTGTCGCTGCAGTTCCTTACCGCTAAGGTACGATAATGGCATACCGCTAAGGTGGATTCTTGTAGGTGGAGCATTTGGTGGCCGTGAGCTACTGGTAAAATAGTAATTTTCTTACATCTAAGCTTAGGAATAGGATATCTTATTAGGAAGTAAATTACATTATCGTATTGCAAAATCTTAATATTAGCTACAGCCATAACATCGGCCACGGAGAGGTTCGTGAAGTGCTCATTTTTTATTATGAAGTTTATTTCGTTACTGTCTAAAAGGATGGGGTTCAAGACTCCAATTTTTGCGAATGTGATAGAAGTGATAAGATTGTCTAAGTCTGTTATTATTGCTCTGTTTCTAGCTAATAGAATATCGTAAAGGTGGCTAGTGTCTATTTCTCTGTGTTTTTCTGTCTTCAAGATTTTATTTACTGTAATGGTGAGACTATTAATTTCTTTCTGTACCTCCGTGTTGATAGTAAACTGTCTGTCCTGGGAGTCGATTAGTTGTTCTGCCTTGTTTGTTAGTCTGTCAAAGTCGTCATGGTCTGGGGTCCCTGAAATATATTTCAGTACCGTCCCTATAAAGTTCAAGCTTCTCGCTTGTCTGTGATGAGTATTTACTGTCTGTATTAGTCTACTTATCTGATTTACGTCTGCGTCTAGCAACTTCCTCATGTGTGTTTGAGGAAAATGGTCCGTAGCGTTAGCTGTCTCGTCCTTTAGTCGTTCGTACAGAGTCAGGTTCGTAACATGTTTGATGTGTCCATAACTTTCCCAGATAACAAGGTCACCACCGGTCACCGGAATGTATCCTGCATTTGAGTAGTCTATTAGTCGTCCAGATGTTGCTGATACCAATATGGCTATAACCAATTTTAAAGCGATTCTGAAAACGTAAGTTATACAATTTTTTTTTTTAATTCGTCTCCCGTATATAACTTGTGCTAATTCTAGAAAGGAAGAAAATTCAGCGGAGATTGTCCTTATGGACCCTCCTCCCCCTTATGAGAACGGTGGTACCCAGGTCTTTTCCAACTTCCTCTTCGGTGTAAAGAGGTTTATTATTATTAAATTTATTTATTTATTACCTAGCCTTCTGTTATTTTTTATCTATCTTTCCTATACTTATTGTGCGCTTCTAAGTTTTTGATCTGAGTGTTTTTTATACGCGATACTATTTGTGCGTCGGCTTCCGAGGAATGAAAGGCTGTGATAGGTTTCGTCTCAGTTACCGAATGTATAGACCTGTTATATTCGATGGTAGCCAAAAGAACTATCTCTTCGATATCATCTAAATTTTTGTCAAGTTTAAGACATCTAGATATTTCCATCAGTGTGTTGTGAAATCGCTCTACCTGTCCATTTGAGGTACTGTGCAAGGGTGGAGCGTTCGCAATATCGATGTCGAAATGGTTCTTTAACGTGGCCTTGATGCTATGTGAATTGAGCGACTTCTCGTTGTCACAGTAAATAGTTTTCGTATTTGAAAACACATTGAGCAACTGCAGAAGCTGAGGCTTAACGTCTACTATCGTCCTAGACTTTAAAGACTGTACTATTGCAAATTTTGAAAATTTGTCAATGCAAGTCAAAAAATATTTCGACCCTGTTGAAAATATATCAATGTGGAGAATTTCTCCACAATATGTGGGTATGGGCGTTTGAGCAATGAGTTGCTTTTTTGGATGGTGGTCATACTTCGCTTGAGAGCATACGCGACAATTTGCTACAAATTGTTTAGTCTTCTTTTCCATTTTTGGAAAAAAATAGTCTTCAATTATTTGCTTCACGTTTTCCTGGGCTGCTCGGTGTGCTCGATTATGTTCGGCTGCGATAATTTCTTGTTGTTCGTTAGGATCTGATATATCAATAACTAACTTTTCTGTGTGCCTGAATTTCACGGCTGGAAAGAGTTCGATCAATTTATGCTGGAATCGTGTCAATGTGTGCAGATCACACTGCAGAGCATTTACTACATCTACGTTCACGGCTTCCTGTACATTTTTAATTAAAACGTCATTGGTTCGGAATGTAATCAAGTGTCTCGTCTTTTTCCCAAAAATAATGAAAGTTCTCTTCTGGGGTTCTGTGCCGTATCTGATTACGGAAGCAATTTACCGGCTTATCGGTTCTCTCAATCGTGTTGGTAGATGATTCTTCGCTGTGGATTGTTTCAATACTCGCATTGTCTAAAGCATTAATGTGCTGTCTGGACAGCGCGTCTGCAACTACGTTTTCCTTGCCTGGTTTATAGATTAGCTTTGCGTTGCATTCATCAATGAAAGCTTTCCACCTTTTAATTTTAGAATTCGGATTTCTGTCCGAAACGGCAAAGGTTAATGGTTGGTGGTCCGTGAATACGTTTAATTTTGATACACCATAAAGGTAGTTTCTAAGCGTTTTAAGTGCCCAGACAATGGCTAATAATTCCCGTTCATTAGTAGCGTAATGTTCCTCGCTAATTGTCAAAGTGCGGGAAATCATGGTTATAGGTTTTCCCTCCTGTGAAAGGACAGCACCTATAGCATGGGAGGATGCGTCTGTGGTTAAATCGAACGCTTTTTTGAAATCTGGGTATGTTAAGGTTACGTCTTCGGAGGCAAGTATATCTTTTATTTTAATAAAGGCTTTTTTCTGTTCACTAGTCAAATCAATCTTGATTTTTTTCGACTGTGTTGCAGTAACTCGGCCTCGGTGCTGGGCTCAGGAAAATTTCGAATTGTTTCAATTTTTTTAGCGCAAGTTTTAATAAAGACTAAGAACCCTA